GAGATATTGTGCATATACCTTCCCTTCCCCGTTCTTTTTTGTTAAACTTTTACCAAATAGCTTACAAATCTAGGTAGATTGGAGCATTCGAGATAATATACAAGATAATGGAAACAAAATCGATTTAAATAGGCTAATTAGCTCCCCTGTAATGCATAGCAGCTTAGGTAAGGCTCTAGTATTTAAAAAAAAACTATTTTAAGCTCCTATGGTGATTTAATATCAAATTTAGACAATGTACCAATTTTAACATCATAAAAGCATTAAGGTAACATAAATATTGCATAATTCATCTTGCAAATATTACTCAGGTTGATTGCAGCTTCTAGAGGATGTTTTAATTCCACCACCGCAGGTTCTTGAACATGAACTATATGGCTCCCAAGGTCCCCATTCACCATCAATAGAACGAGCATCAACTCTGTCAACACAAAGGCCACTGCGACAATGCTGGTCAGTGAAAACACAAGAGAAAAGTATTTCAGAGACAATCAAAACATTATAATAAACAATAGTGACTCCATAGCAGCTAAATAGAATGTGTTTTACTTTATATTTGGTAAACATTTGACAACGTCCTTTTGATGGTGAAACTTGCTGAAAGGAGGAGCAGGTGACAAAGGTGACGCAGCATTTGTGACATTCCACATGCCGCTGAGCGACTAAGCTATATGCTGGCAGTACGTTTACTGTTAAGAAATTTCAGTAATGAGCTTTTTATGTGTGATACTGCTTGTTCTGGTTAAAGCATACAATAATGAGAGTGTTTTTTTATACTGTTTTCATGCTTAAAGGTAACCTAATGTTAATACGCTATTGGAACTCTCTATTATTTTCTTCCTGCAAACTGGATGCATGTGGAGGAATCTAAAAGTGATATAAAGTAGGACATTTAGAAAAAATAAAAGTACTTAGTGAAAAAGATAAAGGAGACAATTGAGGAGCTTACCCTTCCATGTCCACAGTCACTTCCATCCGCCAAAGGCATGTGTTGTGTAAAACATCCTTTATGCATTCCTTCAGTACTGGTACACCATAGTCTCTTGCACTGTTTCTGTTAAAAAAGAATAACAATGTTTATTAACCCAAAACGTTTTATTTATATTCCATCAGTATGCACATTAGGCAAAGTGGCATTTATTTTGCATATAATCAGAGCAACATAGTAAGAAGCAAAAACGAATAACATGTTTTTTAACATGTTTTTTTTCATTGTAAGTAAGACCAAAACTTCAAAGTAAACCTGTGATTTGCCCATGAAGGGTATAGGGGACCTTGTGACTCCTGTTCTACCCAGCACTATGACCTGTGCAAGCTCTGACCATGATTGACAAGGCGTTTACACAGGGATTTTTCTTTTTGCTGGTGGCAATAAACTAAGTGACAGGAGAACAAAGGGAAAGTAAGTATAATCTGCTGCAGGACCTCCATTTTAAGTGAACCTGTTGCTTTAGTGACATGTCATTCTTTTCTACATACAGTAAACGCCCCATTATCTGGCATTCAAGCAACTAGCACTCTCAAGCAACCGGGTACTGTAAACTTTCAAGCCACCAGATACTATAGTTATCCAGCACCTACCGATCCCCATGAGGCCGGATAACTGGGAGTTTAATGTATTTTCTTGTGGCATATTCCACAAGGTATGATTACCTACCTATTGAGTTTTTTTTCCACACTCAGTAAAACTTGTAGTACATCATATAGGTTCTTGAATATATTGTATGGTATAATATGTGCTGACCCAACAAAATTAACTTTTCTTCCTGTTCTGTACACAAAAGCATTTTGAATAAACAGCAGCACATTATTATACATGCAGCAAACAGGGGATCAGCATAGATTTTCTGTAACCTTTTTGAATAAGTGAAAAAGAAGAAACCCCTACAGGGTTCCATGCATGGAAATAATGTGAGCATAAATAGCACTACAAATTGTCAGATACATCAAACAGTCAGTGACAAAAAAGAAATGTTAAAATCAGGGCTGCAGCTAAAATTCAAAGTCTAAAAGTCTACAGACGCTTGGGTCTGGCTCTAAGGAGCATGGGTAACACTTGGCTTATGTGCCACAGTCATTGTACTTACAAGATATGCCTGTGGTAGAAAGATATGCCTAACATTGTACGGCAGGTGAGAGTCACTGTTCCCCATGACAAGATCACACACACATTTTTACACATAGGAAGTAGACTTAGAATTATCAGTTAGCCTAAGGGACCTATTTATTAACCATTCACCATGCATTCACTGATTAATTTGCTTAATATTTACCAGAAGTCATTCTATTCTATTTATAAAGTGCCTTTGTCAACACATTAGTTAAAAAAATTCCCATTGGCTTTTATCAACATGTCTTCAATGGGAAAATATGGCTATTGTAATATTCAGCCTTTTTATAACAGTGTTCATTTTACAGTACTTGCATATTGTGGGAGTAAGATCATATGTTACTTAAACCCAACAATTCTTGGGTTTATGTTTTAAATTTATGTTTTATAGCATGCATTTAGACAAATTACCACTGTCTGTACTAGCATTAAGAACCAAATCAGTTATAAATCTGCCCTGGAGTGCAAGTGTGATTATTGACAGTAAGGATAGGACATTAGATGGCCACATAGTGCAGCAGCGTTTTCTTGTGCCATTTGGTATTTTCATTTTTCCAGGACCTTACCAGAAGGCCTGAGACATCACCCTAGCCTAGGTACCATGAACAGTAACTGGTGTTTAAGTAAAATACATTTTACCAGGTACGGGGCTAAAGAAAAAGCAGCCCCTGCACTTTGCTGCAAGGTCTGCTTTAAGTACATTGTGCAATCATATTGTAATGCGTGTGATTATCTTAACTTTGCTACATGAGGTGTTCAGTTTTCAAAGAATAACCAGAGGAACTTTTTTTGGTTGGTCAACCAATGTCTCCTAGGCCTAAACAAATGTAACACATACACCGATCAGCCATGACATTATGACCACTGGGGAGAAGACAAGCTGGTGGGGCTGTGTGATGCTTTGGGCAATGTTCTGCCGGGAAACCTTGGGTCTTGCCATTCATATAGATGTTAATTTGACATGTACCACCTACCTAAACATTGTTGCTGACCAAGTTCACCCCTTCATGAAGATGGTATTCCCTGATGGCAGTGGCCTCTTTCAGCAGGATAATGCACACTGCCACGCTACAAAAATGGTTCAAGAATGATTTGAGGAACACAACAATGAGTTTGAGATGTTGACTTGGCCACCAAATTCTCCAGATCTCAATCCAATCCAGCATCTGTGGAATGTGCTGGAAAAACAAGTCTAAACCATGGAGGCCCCACCTCACAACTTACAGGACATAAAGGATCTGCTACTAACGGCTTGGTGCCAAATACCACAGCATACCTTCAGAGGTCTAGTGAAGTCCATGCCTAGATTGGTCAGGGCTGTTTTGGCGGCAAAAGGGGACTACTCAATATTAGGCAGGCGGTCATAATGTTCTGGCTGATCAAACAACGTTCATGTGGTGTGACAAACAACAGACCTATATTATGTTAAATAGTGTACATGAGAACCATATCCTTCAGCAAATGTACTCTACTACCACTTTTTTACTCATTTATAACTTACTGCTCTGTTAATTATGAGCTCTGTAGAAACAGGATAGGGGCCCGCAAATCTGACTATGTTTGAAAAATAGAAACTGATTTTTACACAAAAACTGAACATTTTTCCATGCTAAATTGTATTTCATACCTTTTTTTTATTCCAAATTCACATTTTCTCAGATTAATTTTATTTTTGAAAGCACAGAAAGACATGCAACATAACCAAGACTGATAACATGGTACATTTATCCCTCCACTCCCCCATACATGCACATTTATTCCTCCATTCCCCATCTTCACAAATAGCATAGAGAAGGGGTAATGGCAATATAATCCACTTTTTTTTAAACTTTACAGTAACTTACCATATAGGGGCATACTTGTGAGCCGCTGCCAAATATCAGTTCACATTGCTTATTAGCATCGTAAACTACACCAGGTAACTGATGTGAAAATTCATAAACCCGTCCACTGGGCTTATCAAGCAGACATTCCCCATAGCCTGTACTGCAATGAAAATTATAAGATCAAGATATATTTAAAACATATGTATGTACCTATTAGACATAATATTAGGCATTAGGTTGCTGGAAAGCAAGAAAATAATCAGATTCTTATTTTTAAACAAACGATGGAAGAAACAGATCTGGATGATGGTTATGGTCAACACAGTTAACGTGTATGCAAACCCAACCAATGAATTTCTCTTATTTGCTCCCCTTTGGTCTGTTAAATTTACCATTGAAAGTGTTTTCATATATCTGATCAATAAGTGCCAAAATAACTGTTGATCTTTCCAGAAATTCAGTGAACTCGTAACTTTCTTTGTCCTCTGCTTGTGCTGGACTAAAAAACGTAAGCACCATTATCAGCGCTGCCTAGTTCACCTCAACCACCTCTGGATTACAGAACACCTCTCCCCTATGTAAAGGAGATGAAAAGGGGAGGTGTAATCCACATCAAGACTGAGCCACCTAGGGTGACAACACTGCTCCTCCACAGGTACAGCACAGTGAAGGAGTGTTGTCATGCTAGGAAAACTGATACCAGATGAAAAAAAAAGGAAAACTAATGCAGACCCCACATCTAAAGGCTGGTAAGCTGCAATATATTACATTTAGTTATTTATCCGTTCAGGAAACTGGTGTACTGGTTGGTCACATTGAAGCTGTTACAGTGGTGCCAGTGATGAACTGAAAGTGATATTAGAGTCAACATTTCTTAAACTATATCAAATCCTGATTAAATCACTTAAAATGAATGCTTCTCCTTGATGTATAAAAGTTTTAGCTTCCTGCAGAATCAGCTGGTCCCCTGAGCACTGGTCCTGATATCCTGTTTTAGGGTGGCCACTTTCCCTTGCAGGGCCCTATGGACCCTTTTGTGTGCTAGTAAGCTGTGTGTGTCTCCACAAACACACAGGCACAGCAAAGCAAGCAACTCTCCTGCCTGCCCCACCTTCCTTCTCCCTTTTCTAAGCTGGTAGATGGACAACTGTAACTGTTTGGGCAAAAACATAAAGAAATACATTGCTGGGCAATTTATATTTGTTTGATCTGGATTCATTATTGAAATAAAGACTGAGAGTTTAATACTAGTCTACTTGAATTATAATTAGGCAATTGCTTTAAACAATTACATAAAGCAAATGCAAACACATGCTAGAAGATATACAGTATATAGTAGCAATAATAGGCAAAGCCATTTAATTCTGTAGGGACCGTTACATTAAATGAGAAACAGTGAATATACTGTAAATGACTGGTAATGGAAGTCTGTTTAATTGTGTAGATGGTTGTAAGAAAATCGAAGTGTTGCTTTCCCCACCTTTTTCTATATCTTTAGATCTTTCAGCTTTCCACTAATATGTCTCCTTATGAAGAACTGTCAGTCTGTGTCTGCCTTTGTTAAGATCTGTCTACATGTGTCTACCAAATTATCTTTAATTCTTGTGCAGGTCTGTCTTTCAGTGTAAGAATATCTATAAATCTAGTTGTCTAACATTTTCTTTTTGAAGTGCACATAATCAGTCTCAATATTTCACAGTATGTAATTTTAAACTCTGTAATGTGAACATTTTCAATAAATGTTATTTGTCTTGGAAATTGCAGGATTCGTTGTGGTTGAGGAATTCAATAGCTATTCATGTCAGAGAAGACAAATCCTAAACAAGGGCTTTTGTTTGTCTTAAAGCTAATATTAACATACTCTAGTCTATGTGTTTTTCATGATAGTTACAACTGCAGCAAAACTGTCTGAACTCTAGATAGATATAAAAAAACACATTTATGAAACTATGTAATCGTTAATACATCATTAAATGTATTTTTTAAATGCAATGAGTGTGAGTACCTGAACTTGACCTGGTATCAGCCTCTGGTAGCCAATGTATAGCAGAACTGGACTGTGAGATAAAAAAGCAGTACAAGGAGCCCGTCAGCTTATGTGCTGATAAGAAGCATACTGATAGGAGGAGAAAGTAGAGTGATAGAGAATAGACTTTATATCTGTGTTGCTCCTCCTTTTACTTTCCAGTAATGGCTAGGGTGGGTCCAGGACAACTTGGGCTCAGAGAAAGTGGTTGGAATGATGCGGACCATCACACTGAGAACATCTAGTGGAAGGAGAAAACTACTGTGGGGGTATCTCAGAATTGAAACTGAATACTGCAGCAAAAGCCAATTTTTTATTTTATCTTTTAATAAGGTATTTATTTGTATATTTGTCTATGGTTTTGCTTTAAATGCATTTCAGCAAACAAATTAAATCAATAACAATAATTATTTTAAGGTCCTAAAACACAGTACTTACTCTAGGAACTCGGTAACATATTTCTGGCTGCATTTAGACCATGTCCATGGGCTTGTATCATGACTTAAGACCGCAGACATCACATGAAATTCATTTTTAATTCCTATTTCTTTGCATTTTGAACTATCATCATGCGGCATATTAAAGCTAAAACCAAAAGTAATGAACAAGTCAGTAGATCAGAGTCTCACAATAAAAAAATAATTTTTACTTTTTAGATGCATCCTATCACTGTCAAGTAATCACCAGAAGAACATCATCATTTTCTAAGTTCCTTTACTTTAATCTTATGCAAACAGGAACCAATTAGCTGTATAGACGCTGCATGCAGAATCGCTTAATGCTGCTCTGTGCTTGAAGCCTGGAGAGAATACTACAGCATGGCCACATCCAGGAATACATTTGTATCAAACTGTCAATAATCTGGAAACTCACAGGTTCTTTTGTGGGTGACAGTACAGTATAACAGCACCTATTACAAAATACAGATTTCATATCTATAGTTCACAGTCTATTCTAAAATTGATCAAGCTCAACTAAAGCCTTATACTTTTTATTTTCTCTTAGAAGTCCTGTACCACTGTGTTAACATTTTCACTTGGAAATGCTTTTAAATACGTTTTTCTCTTTATCCACTCCAATGCTCTATGCTGACATAGATTATTAATGGTCACACCCTCCTTGCAAGCTTCCTCATGCAGACTTGTAGTGTGGAGAAATGCAGGGGGTGTACCTGACCAGGCCTGTCAGATTATTCTGTGTACTGGCCAAACTTTAGTGAGTATTGGGCTGTGCAGTCATATTTAGATACATTGCACAACTTCTATAAAGGGACACTGGAGGTAAGACTTTAAACATGGTGGTTGTTATTACAATTTGACTAAATATGTATCTCTGGGACATCAATGGGGCTTTAAAGCATAACTTAACCCGTGCAGTGGGTTGCAAAATAAAAAAAATTATACTCACCCGATCCTCCACTGCAGCAGTCTAAGAATCCTTGAGTCATCACATTGTATACAATGTATAGGACGTGAGGATGCTGAGGGACATACTATCGCTGCAGTGGAGGAGGTGACAGGCTTCGGGGAGTGGAGTAGCAGCCAGCTGGCTCCGTGGTTTGGGTCAGTATAACTTTTGTTTTTTTTAGCACCTAGACAAAAACGAGCACTTAACCCTTGCACTGCAGGGGTAGCCCCACTGCAAGAGTTAAGAACACTTTTGCCAAGAGTTTTTGTTTTAAGCCATACAAGTAATTCAATAAGTAAGGTAGATGCAGACACCAGTATGTAGCTACCAAAGGTAGAGGACATATCTGATTTGCATACTTGACTCAGAAATTATTGGTTTAGAACATCATAACAGCTTGAAGGCAACATTTTTCAAAAGGAGAGGTCGCCAATAGCAGACTACATATTTTCTTGGTACAAATTTCCTTTATATAATAACAGAAGGGTAGAGCACTTTTGAGAACAGACCTCACCTATCCGCCAACAAACTCTAAAAACCCATCAAATTGGTTCACAAACTTCCACTTTTCAACATGTAAAAATAAATACTCACACATGCCCAAGTTCATGAGCTATAGTGAATGCAGCACCTAAACCATTTTCTTCACTGATAGAGCAGCTGCGGTGAGGGTCGCACATTGTTCCTAATTCAGCTAACCCTGTAAAAGGATATGCAGAATAATTTATTGTACAGTTCTTAGCATAATCCCTTAGGGTCAATTTAGAATACATTTTCTAAGAAACTATTTAACTGTGCCTGAGCAAACATAAATATTAACATTATGCATTTCTGCAGTCAGTAATACTCCTTAAATCCATAAGTCATAAAACTGAACATCTCCTCTAAACACGCTTGTCAAAAAACATACTTACCTAAAGTATCACATTTATTACTGGCTCTGCAAATGTCTTCTCTATAGAAAAGAGAAAAATATGTTTAATAAAGTATCATTATATTTAATACTATTTTATGTTTGCAATATGTCAATGTCAATGTGAACTTGCTATAGCCTTTAGCACATACTTCTCTACTACAATTAAATGAATATGGCATCTTCTAAGCATTATCTGCATTTAAACTGAACACAATGCATAAAATACTGACGCTGTAATGCCTTTAGTAGTCATATACCTCCACACATTACAGCTTTCCAAGGTGGAGCAAAGCACAGATACAGCATTTCCACCTTCATCAGGTAGTAAACATGTATATTAGTGCAAAAAAATAATTATCAATACATGTCCGCAATACATGCACATTTTGCTGTGATTTGTCTTTTTAAAACCATTGCAAGTATGGTGCTTGGGATTTTACTGCAGCTGAGGCAGTATTGCCAGCTCACTACAGGAAGTTAGGAACTCACTGGATTTCTGGCAGGATCGGCAGTATTTCCCTTTACTTGCAGTGTATTTTAAGAAACAAAACATGAGTACATATGCATATCCTTCAGAAATACACTTTAAAATACTTCACAATGCAGTAATGGCAGGAAGAGCTGATGCTACAGCCACCAAGCAACTCTAAGGCTAACGCTCCTCAGAACCAGTTACTGTATATCATGCAACCTGGACAGGCTACAGCGCACCAGGAAAAAGCTGGTAACAGCAAACTATTTACTAGCTGATCAGTTACAGCAGAAGGAGTACCACTTACTCCAGACATAATTTCCCACTAACAGCCTGTTTACACCATGACATTACTGCAATATCTGCCAATTAGAATAGTACCCCAGCACGCCTGCACAACTTACCTGCACTGCAATATACCACAATGCATATTGTGCATTCACTGCAAAAAATGCAGCCTGCACATTTTGTGCATTTTGTGTGTTACAGCCCATTATTCTTAAATGAGCTGCCTAACACGGTGCGCCGCAGCATGCCTCAAAGTACCAAAATGTGTTTGTTGTGTGTGAACAGAACATTAATGGAACGGTTCAACTTAACTGATAGCAGTGGAAATCACCTCTAAAGCAGGGCAGACACAAACAAAAATGATTCTGTTCACTTTAGTAAATCAGTTAAAGCACATTTTAGCAGTAATTCCAGCTTCAGAAATTAGCTAAAACCCCCTTATAATCTAATGAAAATACTGCTTTTGTAATAACCTAGTAACCTAGCGCTTAGTAATTCTATGTTACCTGCTGCATAACCTGAGCCTTAGTTGACCGTGTTTAACTTTATTACGAGATTACTTTAAAGATATCAACTCCCATTATAAATTATGATAAAATTATACAGACTGGAAATATTCATTAAAAAAATGTATGTGCCTTAATCCTACTCTTAACAGCCACTTTAACACAAAAATTACTACAGGGTCTTTTGTACCAATTCCCTAGCAGGTCTTAAAGAAAAAACCCATAACAGTTTCCCTTAGTAAGCTCTGATTAAGGGGTATTAAGTGTTGGCTATTTATATACTGTCCCCACAAACCTACACTGAATGGAGATATATCTGAATTATTAAACAGACTGTTGCGCTTCAATTCACAATCCTCCAACTTGACATGTGGAGATCCTCTGGAATGTAGAAGCTGCCTGTCCAGTAGTTAGATCAACTATACCAACTCATTCATATAATTGGTCAGCCACACCAAAAGTATAAACCTAGTGGGCCCAACACTTTATTTTCACTTCTTTCCAATAACAGTTTAACTTCATTGTTTTCAGTGGAAGCTCTACCAATGAAAACCTGCTGGTTAACATGGCATCATGGCATCATGCACACACATACTTCCTGAGAATCAGCATGACTCAGGCTTGTGCAAAAAATATCTTTAAAATATACACACTGAACAGCTGTTTTCTAACATGTTCATTATCATCTGTAGACATTAAATGCCAAATTATACCTAGTAAGGAGGACAGCTGTATCATAATGAGAGGGGTGAGAATCATCAGGAATATTTTGTGTTCTTTGCCAAACACAAAAGTTGTGAAGAGTTGTAGCTGCGTTAAAGGTAATTACTGGTCCGTCCTTAAAACAAAAAACAAGAAAAGTTAAATTTCTATATACTGTACCACAATGGATATTAATAACAAGAATGTTTATAAAAACCTTATAGTCATAGAAGATTTATTTAAGACAATCCGATTAAAATGATTTAGATCCGTTAGCTCCAGCTTATGTTCATTGATTGTTGTAGATTCCCAGGCCAAATTTTGCAGCCTCAGCATGTGCCAGTTAACTCTATGACTAATTTGCATACCATAATAATTTCTATACATATTGTAAGGATATATAAAGTTTTAATTTGGTGCACCGTTTTAAAAAAACACACCATTTCTGTGTTTAGAACAGGCTGACAGAGGTGCAAAAGTGTAACAATTTGTTTAATTAATTTATACTATTTCTATGTATCTAAAAGTTAAAATATTAATACAATGAACTCCCTATTATCTGGCATTCAAGCAACCGGCTTTAATATGTCCTCGTTTTTTTGTGGTTGCTTGATAGACATAGTGACACTAAAAAATTTAGTTAGCAACAAGATTTATTTAATTGCTAACAAGACTCTGTGTTTAAATCTTGCTGCCGGCCGACGGCTAGATTCCGCGGTCCACAGCAGAATGGAAAAAATGGGGAGCTATAGCTTGAAAATTATCCAGCATCTACTGTGGGTGCCGGATAACTGGGAGTTTACTGAAGGTGGCAGTGTCTATCTCCAAGCTAAAGGCTTACATTTTTGTGAAAGGAGCCTTCAGCCTGCATGTGATCACTATTTCAGAGTTGACATCACTCTGATTGATTCAGGCTGTCAGACAGACAGCAGCCATGTAAAGTGTCAGATGCTGGTTCTCAAAGGGGAGAACATTTAATAACTGAATCTCGGTACGGGGCACTGTGCTATGGAACGTTAATATATAGACAGCAGGCAGGATGGGGTAAATGGCAACTGTACATCCAGAGAAAGTATAATTATCTTGTTTTGCATAGCCTCCCCGTTCAAAATTAACCCACCCGCCCCCACCCTGGATGCATAGTTACCTAAATTGCTGCCCACAGCAATGTTTATAGTCTCCAGTCAAAATCCTCATACCACTATGGGACCATGACTCCATTAATTGGAGACAATTCCATAGAGGCCTATGGGGATTGACTGTGTAGGCGTGGTTAGTGGCAAGATGTATATGGCTGGAGGCTGGGAAGATTGCAGCAGGCTACCTCTGCTAGATGCAGGTAAGTGAAAAACAATATTATTTTTCTTGTGACAAATGTATGCAGTTTGAGACTTATTGAAGTCATACTGGTCTGACCTATATTTGTAAGAAAAACTAAATAATCAAGTATTGTTACCATACCTGTTCACTGTGAATTACTATAAGCTTTACAATCAAGATATGAATGAGATTCCCAATGCTTGGATCTTTATAAATAGCAGCAACCTGGCAGGAAAAGCATGGAGAAATTGATTACAAAACCACAGACTCAAAAACTGCATTGTTAATGCAAATTTGAAAATGTTTCACAAAACAGGGCCCATTTACATCAAAATGAATGGGCTGCCAAAGCACACTACAGTGCTTAAAATTGCACATGACCCTATTTTTCTAACACAAACCATCGCCATGCACTACCTTGTTTTGCTCTGTGCTGCGGTGTGCTACAAAATAAATATCAACGCAATGCAGTAAATTGTGTTATTTGAGTTAAGGTCTGGCCTTAAGGTAATTGAGAACATAGGATGCTGCAATACAGCTATTAGAAAACATGCTGTTAAAGTGACACTAAACTCAGGAGTTGAATCTTAAAAATACATTCAAGTACCTTATTAACAAAAATTTTACTTATTTCTGTAGATCCTCAAATCATCTCTGAATTGGTGCTGACACTGTACTTCCTTCTGGAGGGTGGCTACTTTTGTTCCCCATGTTCCCTGTGTGTGTTTTAAAGTAGCCACCGCTCCAAGTTTGTTCCCATGATGGACTACAATGTCATGTTTAGTTTGTTAATTTGTATCAAGTTTGTAGTCCATCACGGGAGCAAGATTGGAACGGTGGCTACTTTACAACACACAGGGACCATGGTGAACAAAAGTAGCCACCCTCCAGAATGAAGGACAGTGTCAGCATAAATTCAGAGATGATTTGAGGATCTACAGTCAAATGATAAACAAATAAGATTTTTAGTTAATAGTTAAGGTACTTGAATGCATTTTTAGGATTCAACTCCTGAGCATTGTGTCACTTTAAAGTATATAATAACTTATTTAAAGAGAACCTGTACTTAGGCCCATAGCTTATAAAACAGCAGGTTCACTGCACAGAAGATACTACAGGCAAGCTATATTTACCTTTTTCTATGTTCTCCCGCTACACCTGTACACTGCCAGAATTTTCGCCATAACATATGTCAAATATAAAATCCAACCTGGAGAGTAAGATCCCATAGTATTGGGGACACAGCAGTGAAGCAGATTCAATAGCACAATCATTTTACCAAAAGGGTGTTTGAGACACATAAGATACTGTTAAGTAATTCACTTCTCCACCATCTAACAAAACATGAAAATTAGTTTTGGGTGTACTCCGTAATAGTATCAAACTAAGTTATGTTGAATGCTGTAATACAGCACTCAGCCTTGTCAAGGCAAGTCAGACTCTTGGCTAGGTTCTTCAAAATGCTAAATCCAGTTGAAAACAGGACAGACACAATTGAATTTAGTTGAAAGATAAAGTAACAACAATAGAAAATGGGTTCTTGCGCTTAGAATACATAAATGATTGTCTTTCTACATTCTGCATGCTGAGCAATTTACATTGGTAATGCCTACCCAGTGGACGCTAGTTTGTGTCCTCCCGTTACCCTAAGGAGAACTATGGGGAAAAACACTGACCCCATAGTTCTACTTTAACTTATGTGTTTTCAGAAACTAAAGCACCTAACCCTGCCATCATCCATGCCATACAAGGAAATCTCCTACAATGAATTAGAAATCATGACACTTTAAATATTGAGACGCTGGTTGCACCTGCCCATATGACCTCTGCCACACCTGGAGCACTGAAGCATAGGATAGCATAACAGGTATTAACATTCTCCTGAGACCTGCATGCAAAAGGCTGGGAGCAGAGGTGGCACATTAGTGAGTAAGTTCTTTATGCTCCTAAATGCAGCATGGGTGGTGAGGTATACAGTACCTTTGCAGCATATGATAAGATTAAGTTTAGCAATACATGTGTATATGTATCTCGTTCAGCCCAGCAGGGACCTGCATTGCTGGCTAATGTATTCAGACAACTGCCGTCACCCACAGCTGCCTAACTACCCAAAAAGACACTGCACCTCATAGGATACAGTCACTGTTCGGCTGGTTCCTATGATTTTGACCTCAGTTTTTGTGCAGCCTGGTGCAGGGCCACCTATTGCTTACATTTTGGTCAATACAGCAGCAATCAGCCAAAATTGAAGCCGTGTATGGCAGATTTAGGATAGCGAGGCCCCACTTAATTGCAAGTCCACCGCTCCCAGAGGAGATCAAAGAGGGAATCCCTTAGACTATGCAAGCACATCTGGATCATTCTCCATGATTAATTAGTAGCAGCTATCTTCTGGTATGGAGTTGGGATTATAAGGTTGAGCACATGACTGGCTCGGACTCAAATTCCTTTGAAGCATAATATCTTGTTATACTTGTAATATCAGAGGAAACAATACTATTGTACTAGCAGATGAATAGAAGTCTAAATATAAAGTGTATTTCCAGCTTCATATAGGGTAGCTGAAAAAGCTTAACAATCAATACTAATATTGATAGTATATTACATAATATTTATATAGAGGGGTACCACAATGCTACCAGAGTTTAAATGGTAACAAGGCATTTCATTTTTACTAATTATTTTTTTATATAGAATTATATATGTAGGGTATAATAAATACTGTAGATTTTTATCAGAGTACCTTTTACTTTATCTTTGCCACTGATGTAGTTGGCATCGCCACATAGGCGTGCGCAGCCTGTTGCATAACACACACTATATACAGTATATATCGCAACATCCAGTACCACAATGGACACATACATGCAGCAAACATGATGACTGCTTCTGAATTGGGGTCCCTTGTGATCAATATTTACCAGTTCCAGATTTTATATGGCATATATATTGCTTATATTTCTACTGTTCTATATGTCCTATGCAATTCATTGCTGTCTGATGGTACATGCAGTCTGTCTTCTTCTGTAGATTGCTGCTTGGGTTCAGACCTACAGCACTGTATAAAAGCTGGGCCCCTCACCTGTGTCATACTGCCACCCCTGGGCCTCTTACCTGTGTCATACTGTCACCCTTGGGCCCCTTACCTGTGTCATACTACCATCCCTGGGACTTTCATCTGTGTCATGAGCCTGTCCACCCCCATGTTCTCCTCATCCTTGTAGATAATGTCCAAGTTGTAGTTTCAGGTTAGCTCCTTGAAGCGCTCCGAGTTGCGGGCAATCTTGCCCTCGAATCTCCCTCTGGCCGTCAGGGTCTTCTCGGGCACATTGGGGCTGAACTGCTTGTAGGAGAGCAAAGTGAGCTCGGCGGGGCTTTGCCTCCTGCCCATCACCCTGCCTGGCCTGCAGCCGCGCACCATTCTGCTAAGGAGAAGCAAATGCCGCAGAGCTACAGCATGATCAAGAGCAGCTGCATGGAGCTCCAGGCTCCCTGGGGTTGCGGTTCACAACAGCTCCATCCGCCATCAGTACGCCAACAGCCATGTGTGCACGGGGGTGATAAGGGTGCACTATGCTCTAGCACTATAGATCAGGGAGACGACTAAAATAACTGACTGCAGTAAAGTATTACTGGTATATGGGGCTGCACTCCTGATAGAAGAGATCACTTTAGTGGTGTGCTTGGATATAGTAAAAAAAAATGTCCCAAAAGTGATCTTAATGTTGCTGCAAAGAACAATTTTGCAAACAGTGAATGCATGTATATAGAATGCATTTGCCAATTAATTCCTAGAGCAATTTGTCTCATTCTTCAAATCTTATGGTCACTCATGGTACATCTGCCAGTATGGAAGTAGTACCATTTTTCACTATAAATAAAATGTTGGAAATACGACAGCATACACTGATTTTTATTACTGACATTCAGAGATGTAATATTGTCTTTTGAGCACTAGATGGCGATGAAGTGCCACGTTAATCGCTATGCTTATGCATGTTTATCTATGATATATATGTTTCCTGTATAATGCTGTATTCCTATATATATACATGTAATGTCCCGCTAAGCAAGTAAAACTTAATTCAGCATTCCTCAAGATCTCAATGTTTCATCTAAACACATAACCAACATAAAATACTTTTTTTCTGATCAGGACAGTTTTGATGCATTCTATAGCGACACTTAAAAGCATTACAACAGTGGTTTATGCTAAAGCTGTTAGGCATAACTCAGTTGTAAAGCCACATTGATTTAGATAAACCTGTTTACAACTAAATAAAAAAAAAGGAAATTATACAGCTATTATGAAGGATTATACTTTCACAAGATCAGCTCATTCAAAAAACATTAAGGAAGAAAGAGGCATCCAGAAAAATAATTGTGACTTCCAATTCTTTGGAAAGTTAGTTTTGTTATTTGGCACAAGTGTAAATGTATCACATAGAATGCCAGGGAATAGCTTTTGATATTCTAGGGGAATGGAGCAGCTGGAAAAAACAAAGCTGTATCTAAAAAAATACCATTCAGATGAGGAATTTAAAAAGGTTATCAAAAGTGCACAAAACTTTGCAGAGGAGCCTAAAACTGATGGCAATTTTCAACCTGTTCATGAAATTAGAATAAGTTGTATGAAAAAAACATTTTGATTATAAAGCAAAGGATGAATAAATCACTAGCCCAAAGTACTGTTTTTTTCTACATTATAGACTGCACTGTATCTGATAATGTAACATTTACTGCAGATCAGGGGACACAGCAGTTGCTATGGATTGCTCTATAAAACCCTTACGCTAAGCACTTGACAACTGAAGAATTACACAATCAAACTGATCAGACAGAGAGTATGCCTTCTCAGAACTAACAATCTGATATTGGTGCAACTGACATGCTATAAATTGAAGTACTATATATATGTTCCCGCAAACCATATTACATTAATTTAAGTTTTATATATATCTGGAAAAGCTAAACACACACACATGTTTCTGACATCTGCATTGCTTTTTGTTTACTTTTTTTAACCATATGCTGCCCAGAGCAATTTTGTACATTTGCACACACATGATAAAATTTGAATTTCAGACCCTCAAACAATTATATATTTTCTGAAAGCGGAGGCCCTGTAGAAAAATAAGTTATGTTGCACGATATTTGCACAAATGTTTATCAAACAAGTATTTTTAGGATAAAATACACTAAAATGAAATTTAGTGCACAGAATC